GAACGAGCTGTTTTAGGGGGGCGTGGCAGAGTCTTAACTTTGATAAAGAATATCTCTTTGGTTTTGAGACTTTAGTCTTTGCAACTTCAGGGATCTTATCTATGCACAATCAGCTTGTAACACTCCAAAGAGAAAGGAAAACTTCGCATCATATGACCGCTTTAATATTATATTCAAGGTATCTATTAATATATCTCACAAGTGCAGTGGGGTTTATACAGAGACGATGATAGTTGCTAAACCCAAATCTAACCTTAACCTGACAACAAACCTGTTGAAACGATGAGATTAAATACAAAATATGATTTAGCTGAATTATTAGCTTTACATGCACATGTACAGTATGTGTTGTATTCACATTATGTTTGAAGCTGTAGTGTCATTGTGTTGCATTAACCCGACTGCAGATCTCTCTCATTCATTGAAATGCCTTAAGAATTCCCTAGTCCCCAAAGAAATCCTAATGGAATTATCGGCATAATTTGAAAAATAAATAAATAAATAAAACAAATTCATTAAATAAGATCCTAATAGATATGAATTTCAGTTATAAGGGAAGATCTTAGCAAATTGTTCTTGATCCTACTAGGATGGATTCCAAATTATTATAGACATTATATTAGCAACCCATTAGCATTAGTCTCCTAAATAACACCCAGTATGTTCTATATGCACATCGACAAGCCAATTTATATCTGCATTTTTGAGAAACGAGTCTCAGTGCAACATATTTTAGAATGTGACTTGATATTTCACAAGAGCAACATCATTTTTCTTTTCAGTGTGCTTGTGATGTGTTTTTGCTAATGCCGTTGAACAATTTCCAGTTGTAATTTGCAAACCTTAGTCAGAGCTCAGCTGTCTCAGTGTTTAGTCACCAGTTAGTTTGTTGTCAGTCACAGCCTGTCATGGCCAGCTGCTACACTTTGTTTGTTTATCTATTTTTTTATCAGAGCACCATGTCGCAAGATGAGACCTTGGGAGACCTCGCTACAAAATCTCCCCCTTCCCTCCAGACGACTGCCTCTGATGAGACTGCAGCAAATACAGACGAGGTCCTGCTGATATCACAAATCTCACTAGACACATCGGCCTCTGACTCAACCAATGTGGCTGCAGAAGAGCACAGTACAACTAAAGGTGTTGAAGTGAAGCAGGTACATCCATCAGAAGAAAAACCTGAGGGTCAGGTGACTGAATGTGTGGATTCAGTGAGCCTGGATGCAGATGTTACACAGGAAGAAGTGCAGGGAACAGAGGTACATTTAATAGGATTGATCTGTGTTTGCGTCACAAAATCCATAAATCCATCTTTTGTGTGTATTTTTCGGCTGTGTGGATGCATGTTATCAGTGCCCGGATGAGTCTAAACCTAAAGGCTGGAGTAGTTGGGGCTCCTGGGGGAGGTCACTTCTGACCACTGCTACATCCACTGTGGGTAAGTCACCATAGCAACCTGTCACTACAGTGAGGCTAACCATACAGTAGATCCTTCCACAGGTAACTGTAAGATAACATCGTCACAGAGAGTATCAATCTGTGTTTTTGTCACATTTTAGCATTTGGGTTGTTGATCTAGCACAGATCAGATTTTGTTGCATGCATGTAAACAGCAAAAATACATATGAGATTAAATTTTTTGCTATCCAATTTGTGGCAACTAAAAAGTATTTCTAAATTCAATAAAAAAATACTATACTGTTCAAAAGTTTAGTGTTGATGCAAATTTTTTATCATTTTAAAAGAAGTTGTATTTGATTAAAAATACAGTAAAAACAATAATAATATTGTGAAATTTTATTAGAATTTAAAATAATGGTTTCTATTTTAATACGTTTTAAAAAGTAATTTATTCCTGTGACAGCAAAGCTGAATTTTCAGCATCATTACTCCAGTCTTCAGTGTCACATGATCCGTCAGAAATCATTCTAATATACTGATTTGATGCTTATTATTATTATTATGAATATTGAAAATAGCTGTGCTGCTTAATATATTTGTGGAAACCTTGATACTTTTTTTTTTAAAGAATACTTTATGTATAGAAAGTTCTGCATTTATTTGAAAAAAAAAAACTCTTATAACATTATAAATTAACTGTTACTTTTGATCAATTTAATGCATCTTTGCAGAATAAAAAGTATTCATTTCTTAAAAAAAAAAAAATCTTACCCCAAATGTTTGAAGAGTCTTTTTTTTAAATTTTGCAATGATCTCAAATGATCTGTTTTGTTATTCATGCAGTCGATGGGACCAAGGTAAAGTGATTTAAAGTGCATTACGGTACACACATTTTAATTTTTTTGTTGTATTATTTAAATTAACAGCATACAGAGCAAGAACTTGCAAAATAATATCATATTAGATAGCATTCATATAAAAACACATGTGAGGCATAATACTAAAGGGCTAACTTCTAAATGCAGAAAGTGCTATTGTCAGCTCAGTGTGTCTTAGTAGATATTATTGTCACAGTTGTAAACTATCTGGACAATAAATCCGATTTAGTCAGTATCTGTTCTGTGCATTAGGCCTTGCAGGGTAAATGCTGCCCTAAAGTTGAATGCTTTTCCATCCTTTGATTGTCCCTAGGTCAAGGGTTAAGCTCTGTAAAAGAGAAAGCAGGTGTGGCATTACGAATCCGTCAGAGCTCATCATGTGAGGAGGCAGAAGAGGCCCATGAGCATTCTGGGACAGAGACGGCAGAACACGTTCATTCAGAGGAGGTGCAGAGAGGAGTACTGTCAACCATCAGCAGCGCTGTTCAGAGCACTGTGAGTCTGCTCATATGATTTACCATATCACTGAAATGTAGCAAAATCAGACCCAATACTTCAAATCTGGAGATGCTTTTGAGATAGTAATGAGTCTCGGCTGACCACTTGTGAGTGGATCACAGAAAAATTGTCATGTTCATACAAATGTTTTCTCCCTCTTGCGTTTTCAGGGAAAGTCAGTAATAACAGGAGGTCTTGATGCTTTGGAGTTCATTGGAAAGAAGACCATGAATGTCTTGGCAGAGAGAGACCCAGGTTTTAAAAAGACCAAAATACTGATGCAGAGAACTGTCTCTCTGTCTCAGGTTAGATGGTCAACAAATGCTCAAATAACATTTCTCACCATGATTATTGGGTGTTGTTTTCCCAGCGGAGTGCCTACAACCGTCTTACCTTAGAAGATACAGTGTTTTTTTTGGAAAATCCTGCCATGTTTTCAGTATATGCTTGTGTGTCACTTAGCTGCTGTATGTGCTTATGTTGTGTTTGTGTGCAGATGTTAAAAGAAGCAAAGGAGAAGGAGAGAGAGAGACTGAGCAGTCAGATGGTCACAGAACCAACCGCCCACTATGGGATCTTGTTTGATGATTACCAAGGCTTGTCTCATCTTGAGGCACTGGAGATACTTTCCAATGAGAGTGAAGGGAGGGTTAGTAACACACACCTATAATACATTTTACCAGTGTAAAAACAAGCTGAAATACTAATGTCAACAGAAATACATTTCCATCCAAGACTATGTCCTACATTATTTTAATGCTTTGTCTAACAACAAAATAATTTTTCAAAATTCCTCTTTTTTTTGGAGTTTTTTTGCCTGTTGCAAAATAAACCCATGAGAGCTTTATTTTGCACTAATGATTGACTGTACAGTTATCCCACTATTACACATCTACTTATCAAATACATAAATAAATGGACATGAAATATTAATAATGATCTTATTACTTGTGAAGTAAGAGACCAATGTGTGATACTATTGACATGAAACTAGCATACACAACCCTTAGTTTGGTCAGGTATTTTTTGAAAGATTAAAAAAAAAAAATCAGAAAAGATGCATTCAATTTATCATAAGTGACTGCAAAGACTCTGTCAATGTTTTGCACATTGATGGTAGTAATAAGAAATGTTTCTGGAGTAATGATGCTGAAAATCCAACTTTGCCATCACAGGAATAAATTACATTTTTAAATTATATTAAAATAGTAAACAAAGTGTAATAATAAAGTTTAAACTGTAATAATATTTTACAATATTACTGTATTTTTGATCAAATAAATGCAGCATATCTAATAAGTTAGACATGAAAGTCCTTCTCCTTTCCTCTTTTCTTTATGTTTCTCTCCTCATTTCAGGTGCAGGAATTCAAGGATCATGTGACACTGAAAACTGGAGTAATGATGCTGAAAATCCAACTTTGCCATCACAGGAATAAATTAAAATTTTAAATTATATTAAAATAGTAAACAAAGTGTAATAATAAAGTTTAAAGTGTAATAATATTTTACAATATTACTGTATTTTTGATCAAATAAATGCAGCATATTTTTTTTGGAGTTTTTTTGCCTGTTGCAAAATAAACCCATGAGAGCTTTATTTTGCACTAATGATTGACTGTACAGTTATCCCACTATTACACATCTACTTATCAAATACATAAATAAATGGACATGAAATATTAATAATGATCTTATTACTTGTGAAGTAAGAGACCAATGTGTGATACTATTGACATGAAACTAGCATACACAACCCTTAGTTTGGTCAGGTATTTTTTGAAAGATTAAAAAAAAAAAATCAGAAAAGATGCATTAAATTTATCATAAGTGACTGCAAAGACTCTGTCAATGTTTTGCACCTTGATGGTAGTAATAAGAAATGTTTCTGGAGTAATGATGCTGAAAATCCAACTTTGCCATCACAGGAATAAATTACATTTTTAAATTATATTAAAATAGTAAACAAAGTGTAATAATAAAGTTTAAAGTGTAATAATATTTTACAATATTACTGTATTTTTGATCAAATAAATGCAGCATATCTAATAAGTTAGACATGAAAGTCCTTCTCCTTTCCTCTTTTCTTTATGTTTCTCTCCTCATTTCAGGTGCAGGAATTCTTGTCCTCTTTGGAGGAGGAAGATTTGGAAGTTCTGAAGAAGGAGCTGATTGCAATTAAAGAGATCTTCATCACTCATGAGGAGGAGGAAGCTGATGCCGCCTCAGGGGAAAACGGTGATCTTTATTCACAAATTCAATGTTCCACTCCTCTCTGTGAGTCTTCAAATGCCAAAACATAATTAGTCAAATCCAGATCATCACAGTCAAATCCGGACCACAATCAAGATCCTGCGCTTGATAAATCTGTATTACAATTTGTGCATTAATGTAGATTAATCAGGTTAAATGGTCACATTCAAATCACAGATTTTGAGTTAAAATTATTAGTTATATAATCTATATAATTATTACGGCTGTGAAATGATTTTGTAGTCTATAATTCTGGT